TGCAGCATGGGGCACAGGTCACTTGTAGGTTTAAACTAGAGTAAATGGTGGATTCTCTGTAACTTGAAGTCTTGAAATCATGATATCAGGACTTTGGTAACTCAGCCAGAAGTTAGGGGTCTATTACAGGAGTGGGTGGGTGAGGTTTTGTGGCCTGCGATGTGCAAGAGGTCAGACTAGATGATCAAGGTGGCCTTAAAAGTCTATGAGTCTAAAACAAATAAGTTTTTAGAATAGCAAGAATCAACAAGAAAGTGTGCACAGGGATTTCATCTGGCTGTGTATTAATCCTATGGGTCTTGGGGTTAATGCACAGAGACCCAGGAGATCAGCATTCTAGTCCTGGCTTTGCTACAGACTTCAGATGTGACTTTGGACCCCAAAATATCTGTGCCTCAGTTACCCCATTTGTTTAATGAGGATAATACTCCTGTACTTCCCAGGGTTCATTAATGTTTGTAAAACCCTTTGAGGTCCTTAGCTGGGATGGGCTCCAGAAGTGCAAAGTATTCGGATTACATATGAAGACTAGAGATGATACAACGTGCAGATAAGAAAAGCTACTACTGCTACCACTTGGATATTTGTTCATAGCTCTTTTCTTTTTGGAAGAAGATGGAGACACACGACCGTCACTAACGGCTTCAATGCACAAATGTTAAAGCGTGGAGAGTTTGGTTCCCTAATGACCATCTAGAACCACTGGGTCCTCAGCATTAGATCCACTGAAGAGAAGCATGATGCGGCAAATCACATAATTTAGTGGAAACACTAAGATCAGTCAAGGCAGTGGCTCATGCCTTATTAGCAGAAGTGGCTGCAGAATGCCCGGTTACCCTCCCCCCCACACAGCTTTTTAAAAAACTATAACAAAACGTCAAAACTCTTCACATAGTTCAAATACTTCACAGAAAAGGAATTTTTTTATTCTTACATCTCAGATTACAAGAGCCCCTAACGTGACACATGCTTAATTTGTTGCCCCCCCCTTTTTTTGGGGGGGACGGACAGTTAAGCTGCTCTGGCAGTGGGGATCCAGTGGACATCTGAGGCAGCATGGTCTAGGGTAGGGTTCTATTCCAGTGTTCTATTCCCAGCTCTGCCTCCAACATACTCACATGACCTAGAGCAAGTCACTCAATCTCTCTGGAACTCTGCTTCCCTTCCTATCATTTATCTATTTATATTTCTCTTCAGGCAGGAACTATCAGTCACTGTACAGCTCCTAGCACAATGGGGCCCTTGGTCTCAGTCAGGTGCTGGAACAATTTTGATAGTAGGGGAGCTGAGAGCCATTGAACCCTGTATATAATGGAAACCACTTCAAGCCAGAGGGCGTAGCAGCACCCCCAACACCTCTAGTTCCAACACTTATGATCGGGGCCTTTAATTCCTACAGCAATACTTGCAGTGCTAATGCAGACCAAGTTCTGCCATGGTGTGTTTTGCCTGTGCAGGGACTACAGATTTGGATCCTCAATAACCATTTTTCCTTGAAGCCGCACTACCTTGTGAGTGTCTGCCTTCCCAGTGGGGGATGCTGCTCTACACACACAAGGAGACCTGCATCTGAATCCCCATCCTGCTCTCACCTTCCCTAAATGGCCAGCGGTTGGAATTGCTATGGAAGCCCCTGGTGGGAAAGGGAGGGTGTGTGCCAAGCCCTCCTGGTGCTCGGCAGTAACAGTGATAGATCATAAAGGAGCATTAATGGGCTCAAATGGGAGTCCAGTTCAGCCCCACTCAGTCAGGACAAAGGTGGCTACAACACAGGTTTTCAAAGCGGGAGGGCAGAGCCGGCACTAGGCATAAGAAGACTAAGCAATTACTTAGGGCCCTGAGCAGCTCAAGGGGGCCCCCTGATCACGTTTTATTATAAGAAAATGTGTGTTTTAGTATTGCGGGAATGGGGGGTGGAAAATATTCCTGTTTGGGGCCCCCAATGGCTAACGCTGGTTCTGGGTGATGGCTGCAAGCAGGAGACAATGGCGAGAGAAATAGAATAAAAAGCCATTGAGCCCATGGGGACAGACACTGTGACCATGTTGGACTGCCACTCAGGGATAGATCCCTTGTCCCTACAGCTGATGAAATTCAGACAGGGGCCTTGGGTTGGGGGGAAGAACCTGGAGCTGGCTGTCCTGCTTTCCCAGTGACCTTTGCCTCCTAAACCCCAGGGCATCCCTTTACAGCCCCACCAGAGAGGGGTCTGTGTGCTCTGCTCTCCCAGCCATGGCAACCGTGGTCAAACAGCAAGAGACCGAACATACATTCAGATCCCTTTGCAGGAGGGTCCAGCTTCTCCTTCCAGGAAATCAATAATTCCCCGTTCTGGATGGTAGCAAATGATCTACGTCTCTGATTTGCCTTAATAGTAATAATACAAGGGCAACTGCAGCAGACAGGGGGAGTCCACCTGTGCATGTTTTCTTACTGTGCAAGAAGGAGCATTTTATACCAGTTCTGAGCCAGTGTCCCTCCATGGAGATATATCACCAAAGTTTGGGACAAATGTGGTGTGTCAACTGGGCTGTCCCATCAAGAATGGTGGCACTATGATGAAAGAGTTATTAGTATTTATCTTTGTAAACATCATTGCAGATGGGAAGGTATGTAAGTGCTAGGTATTGTTAGGAGGAATATCGTAGGTTTTTTTAGTACCTTTCATTTCAAGGATACCAAAACACTTAACACACAAAGCAGTATTTTGGTAGCACCCACAAAGTGGTAGGCTCTGTCCATACCTAGAGTGAGACTTGTTCCCCGTTCCATAGCCCGCAGTGTGAGAAAACAAGTGACAAAGGCCCCACAATCAACATTTCAATACAGCATCCAACCGACCTGCAGCGCAGCAAGTGGGTAAGAGAAAGGAAACTTTGGACAAGGACAAGGACAGGTGTCATGGACCTCACTGAAAACTTCCACGATCATTAAACTTCATGGGAGGGATAGCTCAGTGGTTTGAGCATTAGCCTGCTAAACCCAGGGTTGGGAGTTCAATCCTTGAGGGGGCCACTTAGGGATCTAAGGCAAAATCAGTACTTGGTCCTGCTAGTGAAGGCAGGGGGCTGGACTCGATGACCTTTCAGGGTCCCTTCCAGCTCTATGAGATAATAGGTATATCTCCATATATTATTATGGAAATGCCAAAGCACAGAGTTTCCTTGGTGGGATTTGAATCTGTGGTTGAAAGAAAGCTAGGTATTGCCATGCTAATGCTTAGACCACTGACCTATCCCCTCCTTTTTAATTGAGCACAGTTTAGTTTTAAATTCATTGGCACCCCATAAGACATGATTTTGTACCACTGACTTTCTTATTCCCGCTTTTAAAGTGGTAGCATCCTTCTAAGCCAGCATCCCCACATACTATTGAATTGGTTTTCTTTTTCTGGTTAGGCTGCTAACATTGACTTTGTGCCTACCCTTACTGCTGGCCTAACTGACATTTATGCTAGTGCCTTAAGATCACAATGTACATCGTTATGCTCTTGCCAGTAAGGCTGGCTGGGATGTAAAGTGTCTATATCTTAGTAGGATCTGTACCTTCTGTACAGGTACTGAAATATAAAAGGCAATTTCAACCGTTGTTCCTAAGTAGCCCACCCCACACACATCCACTCTACACCAGCTTGCTTTGAATGATGGATACAGAGAAAGCTCAGTGCTAAAGAAACTTTAAAGGGAACAAACTACTATAAATTGGAAGTGCCTCAGCTCTTTCCATTCACAGGCAGATCTGCTTTGAATGGCAGCCACTGAATTGATCTGCCCCCAAAGGAGACTGAATCGCAGGCAGGTCAGCCCCTTCAATACACTTTAAGGCTTAAAACCCACCATATTCTAGTCCCCAACTGAAACGCCACAATAAACACCTCCTTTATAACACAAATCCCTCTGCAACACGCAAATGCATTGGCTCCCAAGAACCAAGCTGTAATGTTGTGATGTATTGAAACGGCAATCGTGTACTTCAGTCTAAATCTTTTGATGACACAGTTCTCACTAATGACATTTTTCCACCAACAAACCATAATAGGCAGCTCTCCTCCACTAAAACGTTTTAAAACATTCTTTATAAAGAGCATCCTGAACTGTTCTTAGCTCTAAGAAATACACAAGTGCATTCAGAATTCCATCAGATATTCTGGAGTCAATATTGCCCCATCACTAATGAGCTGACTGATTACTCCTAATCTCATGCAAAATTAGATCTACATTATTGTTTTATAGGCATGAGCTGCTTTCACACATCTCACAGCCACAAGGAAGAGCAGCAGAAATCTAATTTTAATGTGACTATTACAGCTGTATAATAGTCATAAAACATCTAACATCTTTAAAGTGCAGTACATGTAACTACTGTGAAAGTTTCATGATATATGCTGTGAAAAAAAATGTGAAACTGATAAAGATGTCTTTGGAAGTGAGTACCAGTAATTTTGAGCGTTGTACAAGTAAACATAGGGTCAGATTCCAACCCATTTACTCACAGATAGTAGCATCTTACTCTCTTAGTATTCCTATTGACTGCAATGAACTATTTGCTGGTTAAAGGTACTATTTAACATGAGCAAAGATTTCAGAATCTAGACCATAATAAAATATCTTGATCCTACTGTATTAGTTTTAACTTGTGTTCAGAAACTACCCAGCCCGGTAACCTAACCCTATTCCACCCTCTCACACATACATATTTCCATCCAACCCCACAAACTTAGGAAAGTTTACATAATTCCCTTCCCCCCATTTCCTGAAGTTGTTCAGAAACATCTCTGCTGAAATATTTTAGCTGGGATTCCTAAGAAAGTTTTTTAAATAATTGAAATCCTCTTAATGAAGATCTGCTTCATCATATTTTAAAATAATTAAAAATTGCTCTCACTATAACTATTTCGGACCTGCTTGGATCCACTTTTCTTGGGTTGTTCTTGAAGAATATTTATTACCAATTCTCACTTATAGCCAATACACTTCAAAGGGTTAGAGCTTCACTCCTACCTGAGAAGTCTGAGGAAGTCTTAGCAAAGTTGCTGAGAGCTGTCAAGCACATTACTCCTAAGAGAAAAGTAGAAGTGGGAGACACATCTGGGCAGTTCATCCTTAAATATCCTCAACTGCTTGTTTTCTTCCAGAGAAAAGAAATCTCTTTCTCCACTCAGCCTGATACTCCTCATTGCAGAGAGATCACTACTAGTCCCCTGGCTTGTGAATGATCACAGCAACCAGCCAGGAAGCAAAAGCACTCACTGAACACACATCGCTGGGAGTGAGTGAATGGATCCCAGAGTGAGTGAAACTGACGAATGAGACAGACCTACCTGGGCCTTGGCGGAATTCCCAGGGTCCTAAAGCCCACCTCTTCAAACTCCTCAGGATATCCAGAGCACAAAGTTTGCTCCAATCCACTGCTAGTGGCTTTGGAACAATTTCTATACTGGGGGTGCAGAGAGCCATTGAACAAAACTGTAAGCCCTGTATATGATGGAGACCACTTCAAGCTAGAGGGTGCAGCAGCACCCCTAGTTCCAGCACCCCTGACCACTGCTATGCAGATACTTAGAAGACAGCAAGAAGCCACACTAGGTAGGAAGAGTTAGGCAAGGGTTAGTATCTGAGACATTTATTTTGCATTAAGTACCCAATGTGATTCTGGAAAAACCCAGTTGATTTTACTGTATAGTTTGAAATCCTCTCCCTCACATACACAGAACCATAGCAAGAGTTTTCAGACTTGTGAGCACTAAAATCCATATTGACACATCTAAGTAATGGCCTGATTTTCAGAGGCACTGAGCACTTGCAGTTCCCAATAAAATCAGTAGGAGGAGCGATGTGCTACAAAAGTCTGGCAAGGTGATCCTTCAAATATTTTTTGCCTTTGGCCCCAATCCTGCAATGAACTACACGTGGGTGGACTCCAGGAGATCCATACAGGCCCAGGAGTCCATCTATGTCAAGTTCATTGCAGGATCGAGGCCTATGTCAGCAACTGACGTAACATTCCCTGGGCAAAATACTCCTCTCCTCCAAAAAAACCCATCAGTTCCGTACTATTCCCCACCCCCTGAAAACCCAACAGGACTGCCACTCAGGGCAACAGCGGCAGCCTCCTCTTTTTGCACCGCTGGAGCTGTTGATGTGGTTTCTAGGTGGTGCATATTCCCTTGTTCAGGCTACAGTGGCTGGTTCAGATGCAAGACAGTAGCAATATCAGCTGCCTTAACCTCAGCAACGTGTAACCTACACAACCTACGCTGCTAGGCCCAGATGCAGAAAAGAACAGAGAATTTTAACAGGCAGAGCCAGCCTTAGCATTTTTTGGTGATTACAAATCATTTTTTTGCCAATCTCCTGACACTCTCAAACATAGCAGATTCCACAGTGCAGAAAGCCAGCCTTAGGATCGGGGGGGGGGGGGAAGGGGAGTTGGTCAGTGAGATGATGCTCGGGGGATACACCCAAACCCCACAGACTCAACTGACTTAAGAAGTGTGTGTGAGCACGCAGGGACCACCAAAACTCCTGCCCTAGGAGAGCTCAGCAGCTTGTTCCTCTCAGCCCTAGCTGTCCATTTCCACTTCCAATGCTACCTTCCCAAGGGGAGGGGGAGGGGGAAACTAGCAAGATATTTTTCATTTTAAATGAAAGCTGAACTCCTCCTGTTAACAAGGGGCCCTCCTGAGTCCCCTCCAGCTCATCAGTGATTGGAGCGGTGGATGATCAGTGTCTCTGAAAACCAGGCCACTTCATCTGTGATTCTGCACATGCAGAGCCCCAGATTTCAATGGCGCCTACCAGGGCCGGCTCTACAGTTTCTGCCGCCCCAAGCAGCGCGCTGAATTGCCACCGCCACAGGCGGTGCATCCCGCCCTAATGCGGGACGGACTGCCGCCCCTTCCAGATTGCCGCCCCAAGCACTTGCTTGGAACGCTGGTGCCTGGAGCCGGCCCTGAGGCCTCCTCACCTGAATAAAGCTAGGCAATTAGATCAATGTTTGCAGGATTGGGACCCATGTGAGTAAAGTTACAAGAGCGAAGCCCAGCTTTCAGGCTCAGGCCCTAAGTCCGTGGCAGATTTTTTTTTCCACTAAAAAAAGCCCCACTACTTATTTCTCTTTTTAAAAAGGAAGCCTGCATCGAACAACGTATCTAAGTGAAAACCACATGTGATTCATGCTTATGTCTCAAGCCCAGCCACTGCAATTAGGCCAAACTTTCCAGAAACATTCCCCTTTCAACTGACAGCAAGCATAGTAAGTTTTACCCCAAAAGGATTTTTTTTGGTTTTATTGAGAGTGGATATGCACCTGACAACAGGTTCTCATGATAAAAGTGAGCAGGCAGAATACTGTGGGCTCTATACAGGTGGACTCCTGCACCCATGCAGATCCCCAGTGATTTTGGTGGAGGGGTCCACCCATGTGAAACTCCTGGCAGGATCAGGCCGTTGACAATTGACATTCCTCTGGCTCCCTCACTACATTTTATTTCTCCTCTAATTTTAATCCTAGATGCTGGTAAATTTGCCATAGCTTTGCAGGGTTTAGAGAAGAGAGGTTATTATCTATGGCACAATAGGCTACTAAGAGCTACAGGCGATTTCTGTCTCTATTGTTCTTGCTAAAATGGATATGTATCACTGTAGCTAATAGGTATGAGGTAATCAGCACCTATTTCTAGATATAGTTCATCATGATCACCATATTCTATGCTGCTTACCAGGCAGGGCAAATAAGCAGTAATAGGACCTCTAGAAACTTACCAGCAGTTCATATGATGTTTGGGAAAGTGAAACACTCTGGCAGTATTTGCCTGAAGAGACACCCTTTTAGCTGGTGTTGATCTTGCTGATTAAGACTTAAGTGGGTTGTGATGAGTCAATGATATAATGGAGATGAGCGAGACTCTGGTGACAAAGGATTTAGAGGTCCGGAGTCAGGATCCTCAAGAGCAGCTAAACGTAGGGAGCAGTCTTGAGCTGACTGGAGCACATGACTTATGAGAAGAGGCTGAGGGAACTGGGATTGTTTAGTCTCCAGAAGAAAAGAATGAGTGGGGATTTGATAGCAGCCTTCAACTACCTGAAGGGGGGGTTCCAAAGAGGATGGAGCTCGGCTGTTCTCAGTGGTGGCAGATGACAGAACAAGGAGCAATGGTCTCAAGTTGCAGTGGGGGAGCTCCAGGTTGGATATTAGGAAACACTATTTCACTAGGAGGGTGGTGAAGCACTGGAATGCGTTACCTAGGGAGGTGGTGGAGTCTCCTTCCTTGGAGGTTTTTAAGGCCCGGCTTGACAAAGCCCTGGCTGGGATGATTTA